CTACAGACTGGGTGGGGGAGGACTCACACTAAAATGGTGGCTGCCATTCTAGCCCTGGTCCTGAAGCCACACAACTCAGTTTCTCCCTGTATGTATCTGGCACTCCCTCCAAGTCACTGTCCCTCTTCCAGAGCCCAGGGTGAGTGCCTGGAAGCGAGTCTGTAAGTGGGCCCTTTAAGAGGCCGCCTGGGTTTCCAGAAGCTCACTGGGGTCAGATGGAATCCGACTGATTTTCAGTCAGGTGTTGTGGGAAGTCCTCTCCCCAGCACTGGACCCCTTACTATCATGGTGGGGCTCCGCAGCTGAGACAACCCCGATTTCACGAGCCACACGTGGGCGTGGGGCCAGCCCATTTCCCTCTCTACCCCCTCTAGCACTCTGCGTGGCTTCTTCACATCCTAGGTACAGGAGTTCCCTTCAGCTAACCTTCAGATGCTTCTCCAGGGGGTGGTTTACAATTTCGTTGTGGTGGATGGGGGCCAGCACCGAGTTGACCTGCCCTGCCGTCTTGATCATAAGCTGCTCTATTTTTAATTTTTTGAGGAACCTCCATACTGTTTAATACAGTGTCTACATAAATTTAAAACCCTGCCAACAGTGCACAAGGGTTCCCTTTTCTCCACATCCTTGCCAGCACTTGTTATTTGTTGATTGATAGGTGCGAGATGGTGTCTCATTGCCGTTTTAATTTTGCAATTCCCTGATTAGTGACAGTGAGCCTCTTTTCGTGACTATTGTTATGTGTTCTTTAGAGAAATGTCTATTCTGATCATTTGCCAGTTTTTTAAATTGACTTGAGAGAGAATGAGAGAAACATTGATTTATTGTTCCACTCATTTATGCATTCATTGGGATGATGCTGTAACCAACCGAGCTGCCTGTCCAGGGCCAGCTATGCTAATTTTGTGTGTGGCACACACGCCTGCACGTGCCCAGTATGAACTTCAGAAGTTGAGGAAACCAAGCCCTTTGCAACCGCCCCCTCCAGCCAGTCTCATAAGATCGAGAGGCAGCCTGCTGATTTCTCCACCCAGGTCAGTGTCATGGATGGACCCCTGCTTCGGGCAGCCGGCTGCACCTGCACGTTTTTCTTTCCTGCTGTACTTCCCGTTGCATTCATCATCCGCTTCCGGTCCACGTGGTTATTCCTTGTCCCTTCAAATCTTGGTTGAAGTTCTCCCTAAGTATCTCTCCAGTTTGGTTTCTTTGGATTCTTTATCAGGCAAATTATTTCCATTTCCGTAAGATTTTTTAAATCAGTTTATCATTCCTTTTTTTTTTTTAAAGGTACTGTGTCTTTCCATGTTGTTTAACTTTGTATGTGGGATTACAAGAATTTGACAAAACAGTTTTCTCTCCCAGGTGTGAAGAAATGCCCGCATTGACTCAGGCCGTGTGTGCGGGGGTTCAGTCTATCAGCAGGGCTGGGCTGATGCCCAAAGATGGGCCCTGCGGTGTGGAGGCCAGGTGTGTGCGATCCTGCTGTGGCCCTGCTTGCTCCCTCTGTTGGGCTGCAGCAGGCTCAGAAAAATTGTGACTGGGAACACAGTGCACCCTGCGAGTAGGCCAGCACCCCACAGCTTTCTACGAGGTCCTTCCTGCTGTACAGATTATGGCCTGCGTAGGCCGTGTTCCGGGTGGTCGTGGCAGGTCGGGAGGAGCTGAGCAGGCACCTAAGCATTGTCGGCCCTGGGTGTGTAGGCTGGGGCCCTGCTGTCCCCTTGCTCAGAGGCAGAAGGCTCTGGGCCATAGCTGGGAGCCACTGTGGGGACTCTCGTGGCCTTATGGAGATGGAGGGGACATGAGTAATGGCACTTTGGGGCCAAGGGCTTCCAGCCTTGTTTCCCTCTGCCTTGTCAGAAGCCACTCGCTCAGCCCTCAGTGGTCTCACAGAAAGGACTGTTGTCTGTGTGCACGTGTGTTTGCTTTTACTAGGAGAGGGGCAAGGGTAGCGGGCCCCTGTGGCACCCCATTCTGGGAAGAAGGCCACTGGTGTTTTGGCAGCCAGGCTCCAGCAGCCCAACCTCAAAGTAGACTCAGAGGCACAACTTAAAAGCAAAATGTTTATTGGAGTGTTGTACAAAAGAAGTTTCCAGTCAGAAAATGTATATTACAAAGCATTGGAGAAACAAAAAAAAGACCACGCATTTGGCATGCACCTCAAAGACCAAGACCTGTCTGAAATGAAAGACCCACCACAGCTCTGGAAGCCAACTGCGCCTCGTGGGGGCCCGCTGCAGCACGGGTGCGACCCCCTCGAGGGGCTCTGCCAGTCTGGGGGAGCGAGTCCCGCTTGGGTGTGTTCACATGAACAGAACCATGGGGTCTGCGCGTCAGAACCTTGGCCAGCAAACTGGCCGAGTCGTTGTGTATGGGGTGGGCACCCAGGCCTAGGCTCTGGACTCAGTGTCCCTGCGGGCTGCCCCTCACCACTGCTGGTTCTCTGGGAGGGATGCTGGGCTGTCACGTGATGGGCTCAGACCAAGGCGTTGCTTCTGCATCTTTCTAAGTGGCCTAAAGCTAAGCTTATTTAAGGACGTGTGTACTGTTTCCCAGGCCATAGCAATCAATTTCATGTTGATTTGTTTCAAATACTTGATTACACACAGCATCACCACCCTGCCTGGAGGACCCTTGGGTGAAGACTCACCTTGGGTGGTGCAGCCCAGACACTCCCCAGCTCTGGCCAAAGCCTCTGCCAGGCACCAGTGGGCCTGCTCCCTTCCTGTCCGTGACTTGGGGTTAGGTGAAACTGTCAGCAAATCACAGACCCAAACTCCAGACAATTTCGGATCCCTCAGGTTCCTGGAACACACTGGGTGTCAGTGCCCCTTCTGTCCAGAGGACTGCCTTGCCCTACTGGCCCAGGGCCTCACTGTGGACTCCCCACACCCTCACTGGCCATGCAGTTCTTGCTTCTAGGCAAGTGGTGAGGGGTGGGGGGTGACAACCCTCAACCTCAGAGACCCTTGGAAGCACTCCCAGGAGAGGTGTGGGTGGGGTATGCAGCATGCTGCATCCCCAGGGCAGGCAAGTGTTCTGGTGACACATGTCCCTTCATGGCCTGGGAACTTAGGGCAGCCCTGGGAAGAACTGGAGGTGAAGCAAAGGTCATGGGTGAATTCTAGGTGCAAGAGCACCTTTAGACTGTCAGCCACAGGGGCTCTGGCTTCCACCCCACCTCACCATAACCAGTTCCCAAGGAAAGCCAGGCCTGGGGGTGTGCACAGGGCAAATGGGCAGCTGGCTTCTCCCGGCTGGGAGATGCAGGGCCAGCTGTTGGACAGCTCTGAGACTGCCCGCCCAGGCAGCACACTGCCCTGTCCCAGTATCTGAGCTGCCTTTCTGAAGGAGTTTGCCACCTGGGGGCTCAGAGCTCACCGAGACGGCCCCCTTAGGGACCGTCCCTGGGACCCTGGCCTGAGCCACTGAAGCAGGATCGGCAATCTGAGTACTGACCAATGTAAAAAAATAAATATCCATTAAAAAAATAATTTCTGTGTATCTAGGTAGGGGGCTGTAAACGGTAGGCTAATGCAGAGTCGCTGGGTGGCCAGAAGCTGGCTCGTGACATGGAGCCACCCTAAAATGGATCAGTTGGCAGTGGCCTGAGCAATGTCATTTCAGCAAGTTATACATGGAAGCGAGAAGAGCAGTATATATGCAGAATATATATATATGAAAGGGCAGGAGGCTGACAGCCCGGGGTAGGAGGTGAGTGTGAGGGGTGGGAAGTGGTGGTTACATGTAGACGTGGTTCTGAAACCCAAGGCATTTGCTGCCAAGGTTGTCACACTTGTCCCCATGGTTCACCTGCTTACTCGTCTTTGATCAGAAGTGTCCCTGTCCTCAGGTTTCCTTGTCTCTTGTCCTACTGGTCTTGCTCCAGAAACACAAGGGTCAGGCAGCCAGGATGGGAACGAGGGGCTCCCCCAATACAGCCACAGCACCCTGACTTCACACAGGTGGATAAACCCGCCTGCCACCCAAAGCCCTCAGAGGGGCTGCAACGACCGTGGAGGCCAGGCAGCCAGCAGAACCTGAGACTCCCGAGCACTCCCAGCTGTGTTCCCATGGGCTGAGCCCCCGGCTCCACGGGTGTGCCCCTGCCCCGCACCAGGAAGGAACCTGGATTCTGAATTTGGCTTTTAAAAGCTTAACATAAATGACTACTGAATTCCTATAGCTTCTCTGTCTACCTCCAGGCACAAGGGGCAGCCCCCTCCCCCCAGCCTGTCTGTCACGGAGGCAAGGGTAAGTGCATGGCCCCTCCAGCCTCCAAGTCCAAGCCCATCAGCCATTAGGTTCCTGGGTCTGGAATTCAACCCACAGGGGAAATGGGTACTGAAAGAAGTGTGGACAGTGGTGGAGGGTCCACAGAAACCCACCAACCGAACAGAGACCCACCCCACTTTCTGGCAGTTTGCTTAAAAATTCTCTAGAAATGTATCAAGGACTAAAGAAAGCCAATGATATAAAAATAGTTTCAAGTGGCTCTGGGTAAGGAAAGGTGTGCTCCTTCACATAACACGGCAGCCTCTCGAGGTGGTCCTCGGGTCCCCCTGGGAGGAAGGAAGGACAGCAGTTAGGGGGGCCGGGAGCCTAGGAAGGTAGCTGGTGGCCCCAACCCCTGCCAGGGAGGGGCTGGACCGAGCTGGGGGCCTGAGACACCTCTGGAACACCAGCCCCTGACAAAGTGATGGGGCCAGTAGTATCTGCTTCAACTGTCCCTGTTCCAGAAGCTCCCATGTCTCTCCCTTACCTCTTTTATGCTATACAACACACCACAATCTTACGTTCCAGACGCCAGAATTTCACAACTTATATCTAATATGGTGTGGTTCTAGGCTGTCCATCTTCTCCCCCAAAAGCATTCTTCTTTTATATTCTTTAAAAAAATATTGATTTGTTTAGAGGAAGGGGGAGAGAAACAGAACATTGATTCACTGTTCCACCCGCTTAAGCATCCATTGGTTGCTTCTTGTATGTGCCCTGACCAGGATATCGAACCTGCAACCTTGGCATGTTGGGATGATGACATTCTAACCCACTGAGCTCCCTGGCTGGGGAAAGCCATTATTTAAGCCACCATTCTCAGACGAGAAATCATGGTGCCTGAGAGTGTTTCCTGGGACTGCCAAGGCAATACCAGTGCCACCAGAGAAGCACTCAGCTTTCAACAAGATCCACACAACAGGCAAGACTGGGTGGCGAGGAATGCTGCCTCCATGGCCACGTCCAGCTAGATGGTGGGACCGCGCAGACCCTGGAGCTAACAGGGCCTGGGCAGTGCCAAGGGCCAGCCAAGGCCAGTCATGCCCATGTGAGCATGTGCTGGGGGTCCAGCTAGCTGGGCCATGGGTGTGTGTACGTGCCCGAGTATGTTCCCAGGGGCCCCTACCTGCTGATGGAAAAGATCCTCCTCGCCAAACTCCGCTCCCTCCTCTTCACCCTCCTCCCCGTTCTCGGTCTCCCGAACCGCTGAGGACTGTTTCACAGTTCTAATGGCCACTTCCTGTGGAGGACAACAGCCATGGTCTCTCGGCCCCTCAGCTGTGCAGGCCCAGCCCACATGGGAGCAGCAGTCAGCATGCTTGGACAGGGTGTCACAGCGCTGCAGAGTACCATCTGGGGACCTGGCCCAGGCTCTACCCCACGGCTCCTGTACCGCCTGGTGGGGCGGAGTAGGGAGATCCCAGGACAAGGCAGAGGCACCCCCACACCCTAAACCCAGGCACACACCTCTCCATCGGCGTTGACCAGGACTGTCCGGAAGTTCTCGCCTGTGCCCCAGCTGATCTGATTCTTCCACACAAGTGTCGATGGGGGGCTGTGGGCCACCCCTGCACCAGCTGCCCACACCTGGGGACACACCAAAGGGCCTCCCTGTCAATGCTGGCTCTGACCCTGATGCATGTGCTACCAGCCGGACCCTTATCAGAGCCCCCTTTGATGCACCAGGCATTTGTTCCTTCCAGTCTTACTGGGTCCTACCCAGGAATGATGATCACCAGGGTATGGAAGAAGAGACTCAAGTTCACAGTGGCCAAGGGCACTGATCTTGGCAAGCAGGCCAAGCTGGATCTGAAGCCCGTCATCTCCAGGGCCCATGCCCAAGACTGTTACATCTCTTGCCAACACCTGCTGGCCTGGAGAGCTGGACTCAGACCCGCCTCCACCGTGAGATCCCGGCATGTCACTTTGCCACACCAAAGGGCTTCAGAGAAGGCCCACTGGAACAACACCGGCACACAGGTAATCTGTGACAGCGGGCGGCTGTTCTCAGAACCAGGCGCTCAGCCACTGCCCCACCCCACAAGCCAGGTCCTGCTTCTCCAGCCCGCCTCACATTCTGTCACCCATGTGGTGGCTGCTGCCACCTCTCTCCCACCGGTGGCCCCTCTCCCTACCACCCACCCCAAGCCCACCTACCGTGACAGTCTGGCCAGCCCGCAGCACATATTTGGGTGTGAACTTGTAGGCAATCTCCTCCCCTTCTAGGACCTGCCTCTTGATCCTCCAGTTCCCCAGAGACTGGTCCTGAAAAGGGACAATGCCTGACACAGCTGTGGAAGACCCAACTGGGGAACCTCCATCCTGGGTCAAAGCCCCTTACCTTATCTGAGCTGTTCTTCAGCTGCACAAACTTGCCCTCCAAGTCTATCTCTTCGATGCTGACGCTGCCTGAGGCTGAGGCCTGCTGGGCCAGGTGGAAGCTGCGGCTGCTGCTGCTGCCACCGCCGCCTGAACTGATGCCACTGGAGCCTGTGCCCAGTGGGTCCTCCACCTCCAGCCGCCTCCGCTTGCTGCGGCTGGAGCGCCCCGCCATGGACATGCTGCTGCTGCTGCTTGAGGTGGCCCGTGAGATGGTGACCCGTGACGATGGGCTGGGGGACAGCTTCAGCCTGGGGTTTGAAGGGGGAACGGAGTGACTGGTAGTGGCAGCCAAGAGCCTGTTGGCCCAAGGATGGAGCAGGACGGCCCAGAGAGTGTGAGGAGGGCAGATTCACTCACCTGCCCAACCTGATCTGCCCCGGGCTGGCCTCCCCCCCTCCCCCCTCCCCCCATACCCTGTCCCTCTCCCCTCCTGGACCCGTTCCTCATGCCACCTGACCTCTCCTCCTGGCCCAGCACATCCTTCTCACCCCCCTACCTCTCCTCCTCGCCTTCCAGCAGCTTGCGGTAGGCACTGATCTCCATGTCGAGGGCCAGCTTGATGTCCAGCAGCTCCTGGTACTCGGCCAACTGCTGCGTCATCACATCCCGCATTTCCGTCATCTCCAGCTCCTTCGCGTCCAGCATCTTCCGGAACCTGTCACGCTCCCCAGCCATAGCCTCCTCTAGCTCTCGGATCCGATCCTCAGCTGCACTAGCCTGGGGAGGAGTCCGAGGCCAAGTCAGGGCAGCCTGGGGGGGTCATGAGGAGAAGCCCACCCGGCTCTGGGACAGAGACCAGACCTGTGGGGGTCGGAGGGGCCAGGGAGCCAGCAGCCTTACTCAGGCACAAGAGGGATGGGTCAGGCATGGGCGAGTGCCTGACCTTCAAGATTGCAACTACTGCCCAGAGGCAGGAGGAAGGACCTTGCTGGGGTTGTGAGGCAGGGGCAGGCGCAGGCGCAGGCATGGACTCCCAAGAATCACCTGCTTCTGGAGGCCGGAGAGCTGGTAGCTGAGAGACTCAACCCGCATGCGTGCCTCCTTCAGCTCCTCACGGGCAGCGCTGGCGGCCTTGTCATTCTGGTCAGAGCTCAGCTTGGCACTCTCCAGCTGAGGGGACAGGAGTGGGCAGATGAGGCGACAGGTATGGAGCAAGAGGAGCCACCGGTACTTTCCCACCTGTTCTGTCCCTCCCCCATTCCCTGCCACCCCACCTGTCCCACCTGCCGTCCCGCCCCCCACCCTCTCCCAGCCCACCTTGGCCTGGTAGGCCTGCTCCAGCTCCAGCTTGTAGAGCCGCACTTGCTCGTCATGCTGGCTGCGCAGCTCCTCGAGTGCCTGCGCCATCTTGAAGTCGTACTCCTGCTGCCGGCTGCTGTCCACCTCCACCAGGCGCCGCTCGTGCCGCCGACGTGTCTCCCGCACCTCCTAGGGAAAGGGCACCCGACCTACTGAGGCAGGCGGCAGGGCTGGCGGGCTAGGGATGACGGCCCTAGCCTGCCACCGACCCATGCAGCTCGGCGGCGTGCTCACCCCGAGTGCCAGGTGCCAGCGAGGGCTCAAAACTGTAAACCGGGAACCTCTGGGGAGTTGCCCTGGTTACTCATTCACAAATTATCCATGGATATACACTTCACAATCACCAGAAAGGACACAGCCCAGATGTCCCTCAGATGATGAGTGGACAGGTGCCCACACACAGAAGCCACGAAAAGGAGTGAAGCACTGACACGAGCATACACAGACCTGGAGCACACGAAGCTCAGTGAGAGGAGCCAGACACACAGCCACAGTGCGTAACTCGTTTACGTGAAACATCCAGAACAGGCGTGTCCACAGACAGGAAGTAGGGAATGGGGGTGACTGCTAATGGGTGCAGAGCTTTTTGGGGATGATGGAATGTCCTAGAATTTGAGGTGCTGGTTGCTCAACCTTGTCAATGTACTAAAAACCACTCTAAGAATGGGACTGATCCCCGAAAAAAATTTACTTATTAAAAAATTGCATATTTATGCCGTGGCTGGTGTGGTTCAGTGGATTGAGTGCTGGCCTGAGAACCAAAAGGTTGCTGGTTCAATTCCCAGTCAGGGCACATACCTGATTTGGAGGCCAGATCCCGAGTTTGGGTTGTGCAAGAGGCAACTAATCATTATTTCTCTCCTCTTTAAAATAAATTAAATCTTTAAAAAATACAATTTATTCTCACATGTTTGAACTTGTCACCTTCAAAGTCCTCTCCATTTGACGTGATACACCTATCAACACGCTTTCCCACTGCTCAAAACAGTTTTTGAAGTTGTCGATTTTGATGCCGTTTAGTGTTTCTGCGTTTTTTGTTTCACCTCTTCCACATCAGCAAAGTGTTTCCCTCGGAGGGCTTTCTTCATTGGGGAAACACAAAAAAGTCACCCAGGGAGAGACTGGCATGAACAGGGAAGAGGGGACCTGGGGGTCATGCTGTTTTGGTCATAAACAGTGTGGTACGGGCAGGTGCGCTCGTAAATCACCCCTCATGAAATGGGCAAATGCGTTGAAAGAGTCTAAAAAAATTCACTGAAGCCAAACACAGCCTCTCACGGCACCACCAGCTGGCACACTGATACAGATGGCTTCCTAAGACACTCCCTTAGGGGTGAAGACTGTACTACAAAAGGCCGATCTCCAGAAGATAATTCCGGTTATTTGAGGTTCCCCCATATAAATTATACACTTTGAAAGCTTTATGATATGGGAACATTTCAACTTATTTAAAAAATGTATTCCCAACCAAGTCCATTCCAGGTGCCCAAGGCCCAAGATGTCTGGCCTCAGGACAGTTGTGGGATGTGATAGTGGCAGCTCAATAAACCAGTCAGCAGAACTCCAAACCACGCGTACACCAACGAGGCTGCCCCAGGCTCATGTGGAGTCAAGTGCAGGTGCAGGGCTGGCTGGGGGGTTCCAGGAGAGGAGCGTCCTCTCCCACTCTTGCCACCTCAGAAATCAGTCACTGTCATGATGTCACTGGTTTGTAAGCACAACACTCCTGTTGTGCCAGATAGCAGTCGTGTTCACGAAGAATCGCTAACCCTTGTGAAGCCCACCACAGCACACCCACCTTCACCACGCGCCCCTTGGCAGCTCACCAGGCCCCTCCTGCAGCACCGGCACACAACCCCTCCCACACCACTACGGGACCTCCTCACGGCGCTCTTCATACTGCCCCTCTACATAGATGCTGGTCACAGACCACCTCGGGGACCCCTCCACAGTGCTCTCCTGGCGCCCCTCTTCATCTGCCCCCTGATAGATTTGGGAGCCTTCACTGGCCTCCCCTCCTGGCCTCCCTGGATCCCTGGTGGCCCTGGCCATCACAGGACCTGGCTAGAGCCGCAGACCGTTCCTCAGCTGCGTGTGCACCCTCCTGCCAGCAGCTCTTCCGGGGCAGTGACCCATGAACGGCCTGGCCACAGGGTTCCATTCTGAGCCATGATAGCAAAATGGGCCCTGTGATGATGTGGGAGGGCCCCCACCCTGACCCCTCCCGAAGGTACATAACCCCAGCTCTACCTGTGGGAACCTCAGGCCCTCGAAGCCAGGCCTGGCCATGCCAGGGAGCTGAGGCCCAGGATTAGGAGGAGGCTGGGGGGAGGGGAGACCAGACCCAGGAGCCGAGGGGAACACACAACCTCCAACTTGTCCTTTGATAGGGAGGGACCAGAGTGGGCCAAATGGCGGCCCCATAAAGGTGTGTCCCTGTGTCCTAATCCTCAGAACCTGAGTGTGACCTTATTTGAAAAAAAGGGTCTTTGGAGATATAATTAAGTTATGGGTCCCAAGGTAAGATCACCCTGGATTATCCAGGTGGGCCCTACACCCAATGACAAGTGTGCATCTTAAGAGACAGAACAGAAACATCGGCATCATAGTTCAGTGAGAAGACCCTTTTGTCTCTCCCCTTAAAGTTACAGCATGACAGACACCTGTACTCAACAAAGGACTCCTGGTTCAGTCTATAAAACATGTCTGAGTGATTCAGGCATGGGGATGTCTAAAGATAACTAAATTGGACCAAGAAGGGGAGGAGGGGCGGGAAAGGACAGAAAGACCACAGATGTGGTGGCAGTGGAGCACAGATGCCACATAAGCCAGATTCTCACCTGAGTGGCTGCCACCTTCTGCGCTAAACCCAGTGACAAGGGAAGAGACGCGGCCCTGCGGTGTAGTGGCCGTGGAATGGGCAACTGCAGTCACATGCAAGGAGGCAGAGCTGCAGACTCACAAAACCACTCCCTCCACCCACCCCTTGCCCACCCGTCGCAGCCGATGCCGGTAGAGGAAGGACCCAGCAGAGGCAGCAGAGACCTAGGACAACACACTCCAGCAGCCTCTGGTTACAGAAGGCAGCACCGGAAAGCGGCAGGCCCGGACCCCTACCTGGCCCGCACAGAGGGGATGTCCACCATCTCGGGGTATCGGGGACATTTCCAATGACCCAAAGGTGCCACACCACCCAGACCCCAGAGGTGACCTCGTGCAGGTGAGAGGAAAACAAACTCGCACTATCGTACCTCCTGCAGGAAAAGAACCCTTCTATTTATGAATCTGCCGAACTGTTCATAGCACAGCAGTATCTGAACAAGAGTTCACTGCCTTGAATGCGTAGGCGGAGAAATAATCTATCAGGTACGTCAAATAACCAAGGGTATCGCACCGCCTGGCTTCAAACTATATTAAAAAGCCACAATAGTCAAAAGAGTACAGTCTTGGCAAAAACACACAGAGAATGATGGGACAGAGTTGAGAGCCCAGAAATAAATTCATTCATATGGGCAACTAATTTTCAACAAAGAAACCAAAAAACATACAATGCTCTCCGAGAAAGAAAAGTTTCTTCCATACACGGTGTTGGGAAAAACTCTTGCTACATGCAAGAGTGAAACTAGACTGCCAAGACTACACACAGAAATTAACCACTCGATCTGAAACAGCAAAAGAAAATGCAGTAAACTTATGGACCTTGGTGTCACACAGGTTCGTGTGATCTTGACCCCAAAAGCAAGAAAAATAGAAGGAAAAGTAAATAAATGGAATTACATCAAACTAAAAAACTTCTACAGCCCTGGCTGGTGTAGCACAGTGGATTGAGCACAGGCCTGCGAACCACGGGATCGCAGTTCGATTCCCAGTCAGGGCACATGCCTGGGTTGCAGGCCAGTTCCCAGCAGGGGACGCACAAAAGGCAACCACACATTGATATTTCTCTCCCTCTCTCCTTCCCCCCTTCCCCTCTAAAGATAAATAAATAAAATCTTAAAAAAAAAAAACAAACTTCTACACACAAAAGAAACCAACAAAACGAAAATGTGACCAACAGAATGGGAGAGGTTATTTGCAAAAAACGCCGCTGTTGAGGGCCTGATATCCACAATGCACAAGGAACTTACACAGCTCGACAGTGGAAAACCGGAGAACCAAATAAATACCTTTCCCCAGAAAATGCACAGACAGCCAGCAGACACGGGATGCTTGATGGCGCTGACCGTCGGAGAGAGGCACACCGAGACGGCAAGCACGGTGAGATCTCGCCGCACACCCGTCAGAACGACCAAGCACTGATGGGGCCAGGGGCCACGGGCCACGGGGAGCCCTGGGCCACGGGGAGCCCTTTGTTCTGCTGCTCTGTCGGTGGGATTGCAAACTGGTGCGGCCGCTATGGTAAACAGTAGGGAGGGTCCTCAAAGATTCGAGAGACCTACCTTATGACCCAGCAATCCCACTCTGAAGAACTCCAAAACACTAATTTCCAAAGATCTATGTTCATTGCTGTATTGTTTAGAATAGTCAAGATTTGGAAGCGACCTAAAAGTGCCCACTGATAGACAAGTGGACAAAGGCATAGTTCATACATGCAACGGAATGTTACTCAGCCATAAAAAAGAGGGAAATCTTACCATTTGTGACAACATGGATGAACCTACGGGGTATCATGTTGAGTGAAATAAAACAGAGGAAGACAAATACCATATGATTTCATTTATATGTGGATCTAAAGAACAAAACTAAAAAAATAAAATGGAAACAGACCCATAAATGCAAAGAACAGGCTGATAGTCACTAAAGGATGGGGGTTATGGGAACGGAAAAATAAACTGCGAATCATACATCTAATAAGACAGGGGCATCAAACTCATTTTTACCAGGGGCCACATAAGCCTCATGGCTGCCTTCAAAGGGCCAAATGTGATTTTAGAACTGTGTAAATGTAGCTACTCCTTAACTAAGGGCAAGGAGCTCAGCGCTGCCATTGGGTAGAAATAAGGTGCCAGGCCAGATAAAACAAAGTGGAAAGCCAGATTTGGACCTTGGGCCTTGTATTTGCCACCTGTGTGATAAGGGGTTAATATAAAAGAGGTAAGTGATTAAGCACTGCTCAAAATATTATTCATAAACTGCTCATAGTGTTGTCATATTTCAGTAGCTTTGCTTTTAGTCTGTCCACCTGGCTTTATCACCTGGATATGGAAAAGCAAAAAGCAAAAAAAAATATGACCACTCATTCTCTGGTTGGTTTGAGCACTGAAGTCTGTTAACAACAACTTCCTGCACACACAACTGGTTCAACCTGCAGGCAGTGGGCAGGGCGCCTGCAGGCCACTCACAAGGCTTGTTATTTCCTAACACTGGCCAGACAGAGGGCTACTGCAAAGGGCTTGGTTCCCTAGACTTTTGTAAGAACCCCCATGGTGTGCAGCACACTTGCACAAACACACAGAATTAGAACAACTAATCCCGAACTTTATATCGAACCACAATAGACACCAAAAAGCCAAAGGAATTTTGAGAGGAAACAAAGTGGGAAGTATCACATGCCCTGATATCAAACCATACTACAATAGTAAAGCTACAATACTCGAAACAGCATGGTATGGGCATTAAAATAAATACACAGATCAATGGAAACTAAATAGAGAGAACGGAAATAAATTCTCACTAATATATTGAATTAATCTTTGACAAAGGAGGCAAGGATATACACTGGGGTAGAGGCTGGCTCTTCAACCACTGGTGTTGGGAAAACTTGAGACGCATTTTTAAAAACAGGTGGGCCGCATTCCAGCACCACATACAAGGCTCACCTCCTCGAAGACGTTCTTGCGGAAGTCGAGCTCCTCCTGCAGGCTCTGACAGCGGTTCTCCAGGTCCACGCGCATCA